GTTACATGACCGTAGCTCGGCCATCTGTGGTCCAATTTCGCCCATATCTAGGGACATCTACGCTTGATGATCTATCGATTCGTGTTAAAGGTATCCTTTGCAAACAGCTCTACGCAAAAATAACTGCCCCCAAAAGCACTGGCTAGTTTTTTTCTTGTGAAATATCCTTAGACCGTATCCCTGCCTTCGACGATTTCCGAGTCCCAGGTGGGTCCTTACCAGGTCGAAAACCCCTAAGACCACTTACATCATGTTTAGATTGTGCAAGTTTAAATGTGTTTTCAGATTTCAAATCCTTGAGAAAACCTTTCTCTGCCCAGACAACAGAGGATAACTAGGTGGACCTATCGTTTTGACACGCACTGTACTTGCCTGGAACCAAATCGATCTTCAACTGGTCCCCGAGCGTTGCAAGCTGACTCTCGGAAGTAGGAGGAGACGAAGAGTGCCCGTCACCGGTCACGGTTTGTCCCGCCGTCTTGGCTCGAACCACCAAAGCGAACAGCAACATCCCACTGAGCAGAGCCCAGCGTTTCATCTCCATAGCTTTTGACAACAGTCCTGAAAATACAGACAATTGTTTATGCTTTAAAAAGTATCAAAAATAGAGTCAACAGGATAGCATTCGACAAAGCATATTTCTCAGCAACTGATCCAAAATTATGTATCGCCGCACGAAAAAGTGAAATAATAATTTCCATTTTAACTATTTTTAAAATCATATATAAATATAAATATTTATCCCTTTATAAATTCCTTTTAAAATTCAATACCAATTTCCCCCTTTTCCCCTTTTTCTTTTGCTCTATTTTTATTAATAAACAAAACATAAATTTTACCCCCCATTTTTATATTTTTTCTCTCCTTTCCCTCCACCCCCCCCACAATCTTTTACCCCCCCCCCCTCCCCAAACCCCCAAAAAAAAAAAAAAAAAAAAAAAAAAAAAAAAAAAAAAAATAAAAAAAAAAAAAACAAAAAAAAAAAAAAAAAAAAAAAAAAAAAAAAAATTTAAAAAAAAAAGGGAAAAAAAAATTTCCAATAAACCAAAAAAAAAAAAAAAAAAAAAAAAAAAAAAAAAAAAAAAAAACACCCACACCAAAAAAAAAAAAAAAAAATTTAAAAAAAAAACAAACAAAAAAAAAAAATTTTTTCGCCCCCCCCCCCCCCCAAAAAAAAAAAAAAAAAAAAAAAAAAAAAAAAGAAAACTTAGTTCCAACCTAATACAAAACAGTTCCTCAAAAAACCTGAGGCAGTAAGGCCTAGGGTTGGTATCCACAAAATATTTTTTTTGTTTTTGTTTTTTTTTTTTGCTTTTTTTCCTTTTTTTTTTCTTTTTTTTTTTTTTTTTATAAATTTTTTTTTAAATTTTTATTTTTTTTTTTTTTTTTTTTTTTCTTTTTTTTTATTGAAAAAAATAATAAATTTAAAAATTTTTTTTTTTAAAAAAATTTTTAATTTTTTAATTTTATTTTTTTTAAATTTTTTTTTTTTTTTTTTTTGAATTAAAAGAAAAAAAAAAATTTAAAAAAAAAAAAAAAGAAAGGGGGTTTTTTTTTTTTCTTTTTTTAAAAAAAAAAAAAAAAAATTAAAAAAAAAAAAAAAAAATGGGCAAAGGCGGAAAAGTTAAAAAAGTAAAGCGGTTTTTGAACCCTTGGTTTTAAAGGAATGGTGGAATCGAATGACTTCTCGGTGGAAGCTTGGCCTTTTATAGAGAGTAATGGCGCGTCAGCCTATGAAATCCCGCCCCTTTCCTACTGTAGAAAATGGAAATATATTGCTTTGGGAAGGTGATATTAGATATTTATGTTAATGAACGAGTCGGGCAGATATTGTTTTCACTTTTGCCGACCGCTACCAAAAGTAAAAAAAGGAATATTAATGAAAAGTGTTGAAAGAAATGGGCTGTGTTTAACGACAATAATAAGGGGAATTGTGCAAACATTAAAAATTGCCTTTGAACAAACGATAAGATCGCTTTCTTGCGTTAGCGGATCAATTTATAAAAGAAAAGATAAAAAAATGCATATTAGGATGAGGATCAGGGTAATCTGTCTATTCCAACAATACGTTTTTTTAAAACACATTCCATTAAAAGTTGGTTGCTCTGGTGCGTCTCCACAGTAGCACCATGTTGCAGGTATCACCATCTTCCCTGCCAGGCAGACTTTGTCCTTATACGGTAGGAAAGACAAACTTGCCTGAATAAGGGCCTGATTGTTCCTTCGTTCTCACCCAGGTTCGATTTTCGGTAGACTGATGAAATTGTAGAATTATCCATCAACTCCCAAGGCGCCATACTTTTCGAATTACACAATTCTATGTTGTGAAGGTCTAGTAATTCTTCGTTCCCGACAGAGTTAAAGCTGTTGGAGCTGACAAAGCGTTTTTTAACCTCGAGAGTCCGGGTTTAAGATGTCAGCTAGGACTGTGATATTCAATTACGATACATTTTTGCTATGATCTTAGGAGTCAAATTCAAACATCCTCAGAGATTTTCACTATTAAAGATTTTTGACTTGTTCGGCGCCAATAGTTCAGCGGATATTTCACAATCAGTCCGTGAGCATCATTTTTTGTTTCGCAAGCGTTAAACCATTTTCTCGCTGCGATTTTATACAATAAACGAAAAATAATGCAATATCGCTGTCCGATTTGACGGAGGTATTTTTGATTTCGATCCCGAGATCGGTCAATTTGAATTTTTCAATGCACATCTTGAAAGGTGGGCGTTGCGGTAGTTTGAAGATCTAGCTTCGAATAAGAACGCAGATGTGATAAGGGGGTTCTTATTTCCTAGTAACGGCTAACGCACCTAGACGACCACAACAACATGCGAATGCTGACAATAAATAATTTTCGAAGGGATAGGCATGATGGGATCGTGACTCCCTACCCATGATTTTTCCGAAGCTCTGTTTATCGATCTAAACTCTTCATGGAGGTTAAATAATCACAAAAAAGTTTGTCTAGGCCCTGGGAATGCAAAAAGCAAATTTAGAGCCAAAAAGCAAAAAATAAAAATCGTGAGCGGGCCCAACCTTCGTTAGATTCCTGAGACGCCGGAGACTACGCCACTCGGCCACCAGACCACGGTGGACGGGCCGCAGGGAGGGCTTATGAAGGTCGGGCAAAAATTAAGGGGTGTATTACAGTATCCGCAGGTAAAAGTTAATTCAATCGATTCGTCTCGTTGAGCTCTACAAAATGAGCAAATTTGCAACAAGAAATTCGATGTCGATTGGAGGGAGGCTACGTTTTGAGCGAGAAAGGGTTTTTGGAGTCGCAAGTGCGCAACATTTGAAAAATTCCAGGAGTCCATGTAACACTTAAATTTCGGCTTGCGGCTTCCCTTTAAGTTGCGCCACAAATGTCTGTACTGAAAAGCTGCAGCGCCAAGATTGCGCTGACGATTACACACACCAGCAAATGGCCCTCGGAATCTTCGATGTATTGAGCGTGCCTGTATGAACGCATGCTACGGATAATATTTATTCGCCATACCTTAACAGATTCCTCATTGTTACGGATCTTCCAAGGGCTTAACTGGGATCAATATGTCTACCTTCTTAGGGCCACTCGGTATGAATTCCAGGCGCCCATTAACGTTGTTTGGTTCGGGTTGTAATTGGAAGCCTTGCTTTTTGAGGTAGTGCATAGAGTGTCCAAGGATTCTCTTCTTCCATTCCCCGTCTCCGGCCAGTATCGCTGTGGCGTAACCCGTGTTGGCGCCGTGCAGGATGGCACGCACAATCTCCTTCACTCCTGCCAATATTGCAAAGGAAGGGCATCGTAAACCTACTCCCAGTCGAAAATTCCTCATTGGAGACCATATAGAATCTGCTCCTTTTCCTGGTTTTTTGTAAATCGACGCCACAGATCGAATTTACCTCTTCTCAATTTTGGGCTGCTTTGGATCGATTTTACGCTGCTTTGGACTAGGTTCCGCCAAAGTTGTGGATCCCCCTCTTAAGCGCTTACCTAAGCGAAATTCAAACGCGTCGAAAGACTACCACCACATCGTTTTTGCGGGTCCATAGATGCACTACGATCGGCCTTCCACCAGATGCCACGGTGCCAGAACGTAAGATTCATTCGCTCTTCTTTTGCCCAGATTTTCACGCATTTCTCTATGGACGGTTTTTTAAAAAAACAAAACCAATCAATCTGTTCACCTTCAAAGTCTTTTGGCACCTTTGATAGAATATAAGCCCGATCGATTATGGGAGTCCCTAAAAAGAGTTGCCCTGAAAGTGGCCGGACACACCTTCCATGGCTTTACACAGGGCCCAAGCTGATAATTCCGGTCAAAAGCGCTTGAATCGGGGTTACAACAATTGTAGGACGGTTTTGGATACAAAACGAGTATCGGGATGTCAATGATGGCCAAGAATCCTATACCGATCATGCGACTGGGGAGAACACATTGCATATTTATGCTAATGATGCGGTTTGGCGGGAAAATTTAAGTGCTTGTCCCCCCCCCCCCCCCAATTTTTTTTTTTTGTGGGGGGCTTTTTGTAGACCCCCCCCCGGGGAACACAAAAAAAAAAATTTCCTTCCCCAATTTTTCCAGTTTTCGATACTTATTTTTGCAAATCGCCCGGGAAGAACAACATAATCCATGTCCCAGTTTGCCGATTTTAACTAAAAAATATCTTTAAATGTGGTATATCTCGAGTTTTAAGTTTAGTAGCGAATTCAGAAAAAAAGAGTTGATGATTAGCGGGGTCGATTCTATCTGTGTGTAAATTTTCAGACAATTCTGAGTCGGGGTTTTTCGGGCTCCCCTGGTAAGTCCTTTGATGCCCGAAAACCTAGGATCTGAAAATATTCCTCCCCCCTTTTTTTTTTAGAGACCTCTCTCTCCCCCCCTCCCCCCCCTCCCCTCTTATTAGGCTTGTGGCGTGCGCCGGCGTGCTCCAAGCCCACTCGCTAACCGCCGCTACCAGGCGCTTCTGTACGTGTATTGCGGTGCTTATTTATCGGACATGCGAGCTCAATTATGGTGAGCGACCACAAACGTCAGCTCCATCCCTGGACGCGAGATATGCGTTTCGTGGGTCGTCACGTCGTACGAGCCAGTGATAGCCGCGCCTGGAAATTTGGTCTTTTTGTCAATTGCCAAGATACGCTCCAGTGTCGCTATTACAAGGTACAAGGTTTATAATTATAATAACAAGTTTTATAAACTGTCGGAATGAATACTTACAGAATGTCGATCCTCCTAATCCCGATTTTGACTATTATATTTGATCGGGAGGAAAAATAGACACCAGTTTCCGTTTTTTTTGCTCATTTTGCCCAGGTTTTTCGTAAAACATTCTAAGGTGTTGTGTCGGCGTTATGTAAAATCAGCATTATGTACCGAGACGGCTGCTCACATGTCAAAGCGTCGAACAGTGCTATTTTCATTAGTAAACCAAGGTTTTTGTAAAAATTTCGGTCGCGCTTTTTGCTAAGTAACAGTTAGCATGCGTCGGCAGGAAGAGAAATAAAAGGACCGAATCCATCATTTTCCTTTTTTGGGATTGGTGTTGGAGAGAATTGTGCAAATTAAGGACTCTTATTGGATAAGACGGGGGACAGGGTTCTGAGTTTGAGCCTCAAACCGCTGAGAGAATATTGCTGAGCAATTCCAAATCGTAATCGGCGCGAAAATACGGTTAAATAAATAGTTGCATATGTCGTGCGTGCTTCCAGCGCCTGCGTTATCAAAACTCACAAAACTCTACTCGCTTACCTGGTTCCAAGACGGCCACCATGTGGGCGCACGGCGTTGGTCGAAGCACAAGTGCGTGATTCGGGAAATCTTTGCTCAGTTGACGATGAGCTTGTTCGTACAACTGCGTGACGGTGGCGTTGGCGCCTTGCGAAGTGTAAGCCGGATTACTAGAACGCAAAGCGTATTCTAAAGTAGCGAACATCTATAGGGTGTCCAAAAAAAATGCTTTTTACTCTTCTGATGCCAAGTTTAGCGGACCACGTGTGCCGTTAAAGCCTCCCCCTCCACCTCTGGGAGACGCCCTCAAGATGCTACAAATGAATCGAAAATTCTACAAAAATAGGTTATATGTAGTTATGGCGTCGTAGAGAACCACAGGTAAAAATTTGGTTTCCCCGCTAAAATCACCCCCCCATCACCCGCTAACAGTCCGGAACCGTGCCGTTCTCAGTGCATCATCGAATTTTTTCGCGTTCATGTCGGAGCTGGAGCGTAGATTAGTGCCGGCCGTGCGCATCCCAAGCTTAGTGCCCCCTGTTTGTGAGTGTTTTTTAGGTTAACATGCTATAAAAATGAAGGATTCTCTAGAATGGAACTCTACAAAATTGGGAGCTGATTGCTTCATAAATGTAGATCGGACCTCAAGTTCTTGACATGTTCATCAAAATCCTGCTGGTTGATCGGGCGCCAGGTGCGTTCCGGATTCCGGATGACGAAAGAGGCCATATCAGCAAAGACCGCGTAACTGGTGTTCGTATTGTGGCCGGAGGTCCCGTTCTGTCGGGCGGCTATGTAAGTACGCACGGTTCTGAAACTTTTCGCTTTGTTTGGATAAGTGTTGGGGTTTTGTGCTGCGAAGCCCGGGTAAGGCATGGATCTGGAACTAGCAGGCGCCTGTGACAGGCCGGTGGCATGAAACGGAATGAATGTAAACTTCAATAAAAAGCTCTACACAGCTCATGTTGGCTAAATACGAAAACGGTTACCCGTAAGGTCCCTTGTCATCAAAGATTTTCTGCAGCTCCTGGACCCACTCGCGCGGCGTATACTTGGACGCATCTCGGTCGCGAAGAGCATCTAGGTAGCCCTGCTCCACATCCCCAATTTTTTCCTGAAATGGCTTCTTTTAGCGGTTCGGAATGCTCCCCACCAATTGCTTCTTCACATATACGGCCATTTTTTTCACGGGCTCCTCCAGCTTCTCCATCAGTTTTTTCATCTCACGCTCAATTGTCGTCTTGTCGGGATGTTGATGCGGGAAGCACATTGTCGCCGCATTTAGCTAAACTTTACATCCGGAATGGCTTGTTTTCATTGAAACCTGTGAATCGCAGGTTTCAATGGCCCATAAGCCCCCCCCCGCCGCCCTCCACGAAATCGGCCGAAGGCCGAACAGTTCAGATGGGGGCTGCGACCGGCGCCTTTTTCCGAGTTTTTAGAACGTTTGTCGGCCATTTTAAAAAGGTGTCGATCGGGAGTGGGGAGTGGGAATCCTATGCGACGTTTAGCGTTTTAGGATCGCTTATATACAATGCTTTTAGGGAAATACAATCAACCCAACGCTTCGAACTTACAATCGCTGTCGCCGAAGAACGTACGACGTCATACCAGACGTTAAGTGCTCGTTGGGATAGCTGTTTTTCTTGCAGGAACAGTTGCGTCATGCATCTAAATGTTTGATATTAAGCTCGAACAATGGCCGTTGCTCACGTATTTGGCCCTTCAAGTGTCGAAACCTTTGCATGGACTTCCGCCAGGTTTTGCGCCCCTACAACGACATAAATCTCCGTTTGCATTTCAAGCTAGTGCATAAAAGTGTCAACTACCTATATACTCCAAGATATTTACCTTTGATCCCATCCGAGTTCATTAGCGTTTTGACGCCGAGGTTCGTCAGCACTTTATCGGCATGATCACTGTTGGTCCTGTAGAATGCGGAAGTCACTTCTTAAAACCGAACTCGATCCGTGAAATTGATCAAGACCTCTTAGCTGCTGTCTGCTGGCCTCATCATTGACTTGAAAGCCACGAAGGGTCGCCTGCAGCTTTTTCTCGAATCCCATTGGGTCCTGGCCGCAGTCGTCGTAGATCGAGTTTCGGTAGTCCTTGGAAAAAGTTTGAAGTATATTAAGATTTTGTGGTTAGTACTTCCAGGGTATGAAAATTCCCTGGCCATTGGCTTAGTGCAGGCAATTGGCAGCGATAATAGTGAAAGCATACCTGGATGATTTTTGCAAGCCCAGAGCTGCAAAGGCTGACGAACTCTTTCAAGAAGTATGGCCGTTCTTCGCGGTTTTTGGGGTCGTTGATGTAGAGCATCTTTTCATTTATGTTGACCAACTGTTCTTGGATATTCTGAAATCTGGATCTGGCTCTGAAATTTGGTCTCGATCTGAGAAATACTTCAAAGTTGAAGCTTGCTCTTCAACGTTTTGAACTCAGACTGACCCGTGTCCATTCGATACGAGCCTTCGTGTCTGGAAAGAGCAGCTTCAAATTACTGATGTCGTCTTCTATACGTTGCATTTCCGCCCTTGCCGTCTTTACCAGCGCATCAGCCGTCACGCGTTCTGCGCTATGCTCCTGAAAGACAAATGGACTGAGAATTTGCTATTTGCACGCACACGAAATCTTTAATAATTAAAAGATACCTTCGGTGTATCCTTGAAGAGAGGCAGCACTTCCTCCGCCACCGGGCAGAGGCTTTTTACGGAGAACTTGAGCATCTTTTTCGCCAAACGTTTCGAAGGTATGCGGTGGATCGGAAAAGTCTTTGGCTTCGACACCACTATAGTTGGCAAATGCAGTGCGGAAAGCGCGTTTCTTCTCAGCAAGTTTTTGAAGAGCAGGACTGCGCATCGACAGTAGGTCAAGGTAATGACGGGCTTCTTCCACCGTGGAAGCGTGTAGGCCTAAAATTAAGTACTAGCACTATGTAAGGTAAGGTTTTATTAGATGGTATCCCTCTTGTTATCGGATACTATGGGTATCGGTACCGGGATATATCAGCTCCCGACAGCTACGGATACCCTTTACCGATACTTTTGGTTTTTTTAAAACTTTTAATTTTAGCCTTTGAAAAACAGCTTTTGTCGCCATGGCAGACGACATCAGACGACAGATGCAGCAAAGCTTGTCATGTCCCATAGGGCTTTCCGAGGCACTTTTGGGAAAACGGGAAATGCTAATTTTAGTTTTACGCATAATATTTCTCGACCCTATTATGTTCAGTATTTTTATTTAAATGTGTTTTGTTCAATTTTGACCATAATAACACATCGATTATTGAAGTTTTACGTCCCCCCTTAATACGCGTTTAATGGATATACCTTTCGTCTTTGCCTCCGATCCCTCGGCTTGACCAAGCACGGCATACGGTAGCAATAGAAACCAAATCGCTCTTGCCGCAAGCATGTCCTGTAATCTGGAAGATGTACGGTGCCAAAAGTCTTGAAAAAAAAGTCTGCCAGTACTCGAATGTTCTCCTTCATGCGATCCGCCCTTTATGAACACGCTTGAGAAATAATGTAAGCAATAAAATCCGCGGACCAGGGCCCAGCTTTATTCAAAATAGCCGCGGAAAAGGGCAATATCGTTAGAATTGCCGATTAGTGGCGTGGCGATGCCCTACTGTATCCAAGCCTACCGTCATCGTGCTCAGAAACTTCGACACCGGAAGATATGTAGCCCTAGTTATGCCAAAACGGACACCTCCCTTCTACAATTTTTGCGTGTATGGCTGCGTATCTGTGTGTGAGCTGTGACTTTCGAGGTTCGCTTTGAGGGGAGGTAGAACTAGCCGTCCGGACTGTTAAAAGCTTCAGTCGTGTCAATAACCACAGATGGCGCCGCAATCGTCAGGGCCGCAAATGTCGAGCCGCAAGTGTCGGGCCGCAAGTGTCGGGCCGCAAATGGTCGCGCCGCTACTATTGCGGCATACCCTCCTCTTTCCGATAGCGTTTTCAGAACCTCGATAAGAAACGAGGTGACAAGCTTTAAACCGATTTTATTCCTTTTTGGGGGTCGAGGTCGAATTTGCATAAAATGAAAAAAGGCGCACGCTTGGTGGGTGGGAGGCGGAGGGAGGGGTGTCTGAATGGGCCAAGTCTCCGAGCTATGGAAAAGTCAAATTTCTCTGAAAAGACCGCATCCCAGCGCTCAGGGTGCGAGTGAGACCAGATTACCACAGAAGCGACCCGAAAGAAGCACAGATTTTTGCAGAAACAGGCTGCGACAAAAACACCCCTTCGACAGCACGGTATATAAACCGGGTTCGAGCCGGTCGGCTAAGATTTTCTAACTGCCAAAATCACGATTTATTGCTCGTAAGCCCCCCGCAATGATGCTAGGGATAGAATGTGATGCGATTCGTGGAGCTCTCATTTTCCGGGTCATCGTTTGTAGGGAAGGTCCAGGTTGCCTCCGAATCCCCATGGTAAGCCTCGAGCTTGGTTGTTCGCCCTGAAAAAAATTTCTTGCGGTCCGCGCCAGAAATTGGGGACGATGACGGTGCAGTTGCAGAGCAATAACGTCACACCTGGGAACGTGGCATCTTTCTCTCGCTCTCTCTCTCTCTCTCTCTTTCTCTCTCCTCCCTCTCTCTCTCTCTTTCTCTCGTTCTCTCTCTCTTTCTCTCACCCTTTCTTTGTTAGCCTATTTTTCGCATCTTTTCTTCAACTTTATAAGAAAACTGACCGGGCTCGAGGATGATGGTGGACTCGTTCAAAGCGATCCCGGTCACGACAAAGGCTTGGACAAATTCGTTGCGCATGTACATGCCCAGTTCATTGGCGCAGTGCAGGAGCGGAAATGCCCCGCAACCACTAAATACAGCGGATGGGCCCTGATAAAGCTTTAGCTGCCTTCGCGCCCCCGGGTGAGTGCCAAGGTTGGCCAAAAATGTCACTGTCGCGTGGGGGAGATACGACCGATCAAAATTTGGCTAGTTTTGGTCATTTTTGGCTCCATAGATTACATTTCAACCTAATAAACCATAAAAATGGCTTGAGATTTTTATACGAGCATAGTGTAGCCTTGGTATTTGTTTACATCCAATTTCCATGAGACGAAACGTAAAAAAAACTTTTTCAAAATCATTTGGATTATGACCAATTTTGAATCGGTCTTATGAACGAAATAATTTTTGAAGCACAAGTTTTACGAGACTTTTTGTAGTGCTTCTTAAGCTGGGTCGAACGCTATTTTCACTCGGGTTCCACGCCGCTCCTCAAGGAAAGAAAATAAGGCCATTTTTATCCCAGCTTTCAGACCCTCTAAGACCGATGAAAATTTGATAAAACAAAGCTACTATAGCCATTGTCTAGAGCACAAAGAGTACAGTATACTCTTCAGCCGTGATATCAATACCGCTTTTGAAAAGGCGATTCAAATCCAAAAACGCCAGAACTTTTTTAAAGCCTAATAAAAAGTTTTGCGCTCCGATGATAATTTAAAGACGCCATGAAAGAAGTTCGGTCTTAAGGAAGGGCGAAGACTAGTCCCCGGGTATCGCCGAGACCTACCTCGACACACAATTCAACTGGTACCAGCGCCGTTTGATCGATTTCGCCGCGGTGACAAAGTCGGGGTTCTTTGCATTGGTTGGACGTTTTTCGTAGCGTATCGTCATGTAGTGTTCGGTATCCACCGTGTAGTGCGTGCATCTACCCTCACAGCCGAAATCCGGGTGTTTCTTCCACGCCGTGTAGATTCTCAAGATGCTGAAAGTGTTCAGCCATTTTCCCATGGCATTGACATAATTTTGGATTGACACGAAATGGCCTGTTGAGCGAATGAGGTGCCTTCCACTACTGTTTTTGGTCCAGAATAGGTCAGAAAAAAGCTTAAAGTTCCACGGCAGCCGTTCTGGACGAAACAAGACGAAGCCACTAACCCGTATGGTCCATGATTTTCCATCTTCTGGCGCACATTCATCAATTTCTGCTGCAGATTCGGTTCTTTGCGCTCTGAGGTGACGTATCTCTCCAGCAACTCGCCCTCGATCTCCCCAATCTTCATCTAAAAGTCGGCCAATGCCTGCGAATGGCGAGTAAATTTGAACCAGCGGAAAAAGACCGCTTCGCGGGGCTTTTGAGATATGACCTTTAGCCTTCGGGGCAAGAGCATCGGTCAAGCAGCGATTTTTTGAGAGCCCTGCTGTCGAACGCCGCGACACTTAGCCCATCTTATTAAGTTTATTTGTCGGGTTTTTGCTTGTAAAATAGTTCAATCAAAAAGTTAGTAACTACATATAGTCTCCTTTCCGACAATGCTTATTAGGTTGGTATTGGAGTTCTTACAGATATTTGGGCGCTTACCATCCCTTCGTCCAGGTAGTTCAAAATGAACTCTAGCGCGGACTGCAGTCGATCCTGCAGCGCTCGTAGGCGGTTGTCGCTGGATATTTGTGGCATGCTGATTGGGTAGCAGACGGTCGCGATTTCCACCGAAAAATTGTGAATTTTCAAAGCCATCTTGGAAGAAGACTAGTCGTTTTCTGTTAAGCGTTTTGCTTCGTCTTATCCAAAATTCGAAATTTCTCGGTTTCTCTGATCGACATGGGTCGTCCTGGTCCCTTTAAGTTAGCCTTCATTAAAGGCGTCTTCCCCTACCACCCAGTTTTTAAATGCCGAAATTCGAAATTTCTCGGCTGGAATTGACGTACCATCCCGATGATATTTGCGCTAATCATTTTCAGAAAGGCGGTTGTGTGGTTCTGCGAGAGCATCCCTTCCTGTAGAATAATTTGCGGCAAACAGCTAGAACAAAAATTGTACAAAAAGATTTCAACGTCGCCTCTTACGCGGTGGTGAGGTTGGCATCTAGCTCGCGAAGCGCCTTGAGTAGGAGAGCTGCCGCTGAATAATACTCCAATTGGAGGTTTTATCGAAAACTGGTGCTGTAGGCTTGTTGTGCCGGAGGACTGTCCTTTTTGAGTCATTGGCAAAATTATTCCAGACATGGTTTATTCGATGGAGAAAATTTGAAATATGAACCCGATCAGGCTTTCCGATTTGAAAAATGACCGCCCCCGATTTTTAGAAACCTAAAAAAGACGGCTTTGATATTAAAATCTAAATTGCGGAAAATTTAGTTTTCTACTTACTTTTCCGCAAAACAGAACCCTGGTGGCTTGTTCAGAATTAAATTTTCATAAAATCAATAAAATAATAATTAAACAAAAAATAAACAAATCAAGAATCCATCGAATGAAGTATGTTTCTTATCCAAAGCAACTCATTGTAAGAACTTTAGGTTGGTTTCATAGTTAAACGGCCAACGGTTAATGTTTAAAGTGGTTTTTGCAATCGATTGTTGCCTATAATACCTACCACCCTTCGTCTCGATTTTCTCCAGGTTTCGCTCATCTTCCCTTTCGATCTTCAAAAGCTCCTTCAACTTGGCGACCAGGTCCTTCGGGCTTGTTCCGCAGTTCCGCGAGTTCCGACGGTGGAAAAGCTGTAATAACCAATGCTCTTCTTGGACCGTCATTCATGATCGCTGGGAAAGCCCCCTAGAAGCAATCTGCTGATCGACATGGGTCGTCCTGGTCCCTTTAAGTTAGCCTTCATTAAAGGCGTCTTCCCCTACCACCCAGTTTTTAAATGCCGTTTTCCACCCCGCCCCCCCCCAAGCCGACCCCCACCTACCGTATCTCGGCTCCGCGTTATCCTACCGGGTAGTTTAGTATACCAAAATTCTGGGGCAAACAAGGCGAACACTTTGGCATACTTTACACACCTGTAGACAAACGGCGAGCCGAAATAGAAGAAGTTACGCGCCAGCTGAGGGGGCGGGGGTAACCTGCACTCTAACCCCCGGCTTCCTAGAAATGCCGTTTTATCGTTACATCTTCTAGCGCATCGAAACGGTGGCAAAGCTGCTCAAGCTTTTGGTACTGCGCTTTCAGCTGGGCGGCACTCTCGTTTGCCGACGGTAGCAGTAGTTCTTGGCCAATGTTGCGCAGCTCACCGTTGAACGTCTAAAACGGGTTCTCTTCGCGAGCCGGACAAACGATTACCTAACAGCATAAAAATGTACAACAACGAAGACGTCTCAAAAGAATTGACAAACCTGATGATAATGTACATAGTCAAGGGAGACGGTTAAAATCCCGGCGGCCTCATTGATCATCGCGGTCAGGTTCCTTTCCTCGTCTCGCAGATAACTCGACAGCCTTTCATAGGACAATTTCTGGTCCTCTGTGAACGTCGGGCGTGTCCCCTAAAATGTGGTGAAAGGAAGGCAAAATGCCGGGTCAGTCGCTGAAATCATCGTTAGTCAAAGTGCGAACCGTCCCAACCCCCGGCTGTAAAAATTCATTTAGTGTGATTTTTCAGAAAAGCCGCGCGTTTTCATAAATATTTAGAAAGTAAGGCAAGGTTTCGGAATTCAGAAATTCGTAAACCCGTTGAAGTGGCCTCGCCTTTCCTCGTGCTTTCGCTAGAAATCGTGATATCGTAAAAATCGGACGTGTCGGCGGCCCGCTAGCGGGCGGGTGCTTTTTTCGAATAGCCTGTAGAAGCGGATGCAAACCACAGCAATATCCCGCACGAAAGTAGCGACCGGACCACCGCCTCACCTTTTGCATCAGCTTAAAGATCGAGCCGACGAATTTGGCCACCGGGCCGACGGCGAGCGTCATATTCACGAACGAATCAGTGATCATGGCGAACGATTCGAGGGGATTGGTGCCCGTCCCCAGACGCAGATTGGTGGTAAAGTTGGAAAATGTCAAGATTTGCTGTTCCGCTGAAATTTTTACTCGATGGTCATATGATTCAGCTTTTCCTATTCAGCTCCGACGTCATCTTTTCGTAAAAAGATAAACATAATGGTAAGACTGGTCCGGCTTCCACGCAGGCTCACACGTACACGCACATCAAAAAGGCTAATAGGCGGTAATTACGGGTTATTCTCCATTTTGTCAAGGCTATGCCCGCTATGCTACCTACTGGGCAGACATGGCAAATCGGCCGGCCGATCGGCTTTTTCGGCCGAAAAAATTAGAATGCGGCCGGCCGAAATCGGCCGGCCGCCATTTCCGGTCGGCCGCGGCCACGGCCAAATCGGCCGGCCGAAATGTCGGCCGGCCGCGCGGCCCGGAAACGGCCGAAAACCCGCAACCAAATTAGATTTTTGGATGCTAATGAAGGGACTTACTAATGTTTAGACCGAGGAAATTAGTTAAAAGGCTAGGGAATAGTGAAAACCAATGCCCAAACCCATTCCTTATTTATTCAAAATCTAGAGGCGCCAGCGACACGTTTCTGTGAAACTTTTTCTCAAGTGTGAATTGTCAGCCGGCCGACGCGGCCGCGGCCGAGCCGACCAAAAAAAGTCGGCCGGCCGATCGGCCGACCGGAAGTCATTTGCATAGAGTCGGCGGCCCGGAAACGGCCGATTTTTTTATGCTAATGAGGCCGTCGGCCGGTCGGCCGCGGCCGGCCGACCGAAATTGCCATGTCTGCTACTGGGTGATCATCTGGCTTTGAGCGAAACGGCCAACGAACGGCTATGTCTTTTTTTTGCCTATTAATCAAAATTATTCCCCAACCTGGTCCCGGCGGTTTCGGCGGCTTCGTTACTTTTGCCGCATGGCTGTAGCATCCACAAGCAAACAACAGCAAGCACAGCAGGATCTGACGGCGTTCCATCGACCTGAACTCGGTGTTTGGTCGAAGCACCGTAGTAGAACCCGGCAGGCGGGCACTACCGTATCAAATAAAAAGTATACAAAATGAGATCTCGCCGCTCTGCCCGTCTTTTATGCCAAAAATTTTGTAATATTGGCCGGATGGCGTCGAAGATTGATATAGACGTAGCGGGCCGTCCCGAAATAAACGCCGAGACTGCCTGTTTAACATGAGAATTTTTAATGTAATATATCTCGCGCTACCGTACCGCCGCGAAGCCACCTTGACTTTCGGAAGGCAAGAAAACAGTGTACCCCTGAAATATGCTGCGATGCATTTCCTGCGGCGCTGGTTTTTATTACAACGTTAGCTAATGATGTGGAGAAACTAAACGTAATGAGGGATTTGACAATCTATTTATTTTTCGACGGAGAGAAGTACATGACACTCAAAAGTAATTGGCGATGAGCGATACGATAATGGTGGAGGCATCGTATTCGGGTAAGAATTCTTCTGCTTCTCGGCTTCTTCGGCTTTGCGTCGCTTCTCGGCTTTTTGCGCTTTGACCTGCTCGGCTGCCTCTACTTGCCCTTTCAGCATACCAACGTCCCTCATGTTGCAATAACTGCCGTTGCTGCAAACGTAAGCCCAGCCGTTCGCTAAAAAATCAGTTTCACGGCGGTTTAAAGGTACATTTGGCTACCGTTTTGAAACTCTGGTCAGTGGCGGAAATTTAGGTGCATGGTGGACGGGCAGAGAGACCCCTCATATCTCATTGCCCCTATTCCCCTTACCATCTCACCCATGGGCTAGAGGTCTAACAAGGCGTTTGGCCCAGGTCGAGTGTTCTGGGTTTAGTTTTGCCCGACGTTTAGCCCCTATCGTAACATTGTGTGCTAAAGTGTTGACCTATATAAGCCCTTATATTTCGCCACGAGAGCGGAATATCCCTTTAAGAATTTGAATAAAAGGTTGGGGTAAGGGTTATGTAGGATTCGCGAGGGGACCAACTCGGCTCAAGCCTAAATTTTTGACGGATAGCGGATGTCTTTCTACATTGTTTTTAACTAATCCTAAGCATAAAAGCTTAACTAATTTTACTTAAATATTTAATTTTAGTTCGAAAAATTGATTTTTTCGCCAATATGACCAAATTTTTTGAGTTTTTCAAACACTTCTCTAACTTTTTTTAGGAATTTTTCTACTTTAAAATAGTTAAAACGTACTAAAAACACTCAAAATCTCTTAATTTTTGATTACTTGGCCAACCGGTACCGTCAGGAAAAACATTAGCTCCCCCGCGAACCCTAAAGAACCGGGGTAAGATATAAAGCTGCTTACCGCCGTCCTCCTTGGTATAATTGAAATAGCCCTCTTGCTTGGTACTGGTACTTCCTTTGAGGTGCATCACTCTTCCGTCTTCATACTCGAGGTGAAGGACCGCGCAGCGCTCACCGTATTTTGTTTTCCGCTCGGACTAAATTACATGTACGTCTCGACATCGAAATTCTATTTGCAAATTTCTACACTGACAGAGCTCGACGACACGAATCGAGTGGTCCACCTTTCAGCTGCCCTGGTCGTAATTTCGCCGAGTTATAAGCATTTCAAGCTTTTGCTTGTTTTTCGATCTACCTTCGCAGGCTTTCCCGCTCCCCTAGCCCCGTGGTCTGGTGGCCTAGTGGATTAGTCGGCGGCGTCTCGGGAATCTCACGTGGGCTCGAACCCGCATCCGATTTCTATTTTTGCTTTTTGGCCGAGGGTTCCTTTTTGCATTCTGTAGACCGTGAATAGCTTTTTATCCATTATTCATACACCAGGAAGCGCTCCCAGTAATCGTACCAACCAGGGTTGTTCAGGGACAGACGGGACGGATGCAAATTACAGGACGGTCCCTGTACGGGACGGACGGTGACGGGGCAGCGGCCCCGACCCAATGCAAATTCCGGGGATAAAATAATGGCGTTCAAAACTCGCAGCGGCAGGGTTTAGAATTTTGAAGACAGAGGGGGGGGAGCCTGCCCCCACTGCCCCCCTTCTACGTGCCTGCGCATGGTCATACCACGCGCCTCCTGCCTATGGTCGTGCCACGACATGTGCGGCCCGTCATTTGCGGCCCGTTACCATAGCAAAAGGTGGGCCGCAAGTGTTGGGTCGAAAATGTCGGGAGCCCCTGTGATATCACTGTGGATGCGAAGCGAACGTTTGTTCTGCCGACTCTTTGACGATTGGACACCCACCCCGAGGTTGCCACAGTCGTCCGCAAAGATCGGATCTCCCCAGGATTCGGTCGGCATCAGGTACCGAAGCAAATCGTCGGGCGTACGGCTGAGATTAGATGAATTGATAGATCATGGGGAGTCATCGGATGCAGTTCGGATTTCGGCTAAAATCAAGGAAACCCTCCCAGACGTCTTTTCAACTTTTCTACCTTCTGTATTTTTATTTTTCTCTTTTTTTTTGGACTCAAATGCATTGTATTCATACTAATTAGTCTACTGTAAACATTTTGGTATACTTTAGAGCTCGCTAGCGCAAGGGGGGGGGGAGGGCTGAGGTACAAAAGTTGGTGCCGATTTCTTACCTGGATTTCCGATTTTTTCGGATTTACGAAGAACCATTCATTGGACCGGTAAAACAAAAACTAGTCAAATTTGAATTTAAGGCAGCCGATTGGCTACCTTCACTTTACGGTAACTAAATAAAGTGTCGATTCCCTACTGGAATCGATAGCTCTCGAGTTCTTGCGTTTCTCGTTGAAAAAACGATTGGGACTCGCTTCTAACAAAATTTATAGCTGTTTTAAACCAATTCGTCTCGCATCGAAAAGTCGGTTTCGGCTACGAGGGACTCCTTTGTACGGAAAAACGTAATAGTTGTGAACGTACTGGGTACGAAATACGGGGCTGCTGCAAAAGGCTCAGGAAAAGCCTTATTATCACACATTTTGCGCTTCGTCCAAATTTCTAAACTATTAAAAAGACGGTGTTGCGCCAGGAGTCCCTCAATTTGGATGGAAGTGGCCGCTACTTCTTCCGCTCTCCGACTAGAAAAAGGCTTCGTTCCACCCGGGGCCTAGTCGCTTCGGATGGGTGCGAGCTCGTACAGGGTTTCGAAATGCCAAGGCAGGTGAAGCGACTGGGGGCGCCCCCATTCCGAAAGAGTGGAGCGGCAGCCCATCCGAACTGACAATGCCACAGTAAAATTTTATTCCCCTCGTAGACGACGACTTTTTTAATGCGGGGTGAACTGGTTTAAAAAGTTTATAACTTTTGTTAAGAGTTAGTCCCAATAGTTTTTTCAACGGGAAACGCAAGAACACGACCAGATCTATCGATCCCAGTCGAAAAACCCATTTTTGATTTAATTACCGTAAAGTGAACTAGCCAATTTAAAATGTTTATAACTTTTTTAGAAGCGAGTCCCAATAGTTTTTCAACTGGAAATGGTAGAACTCGACGAGATCTATCGATTCCAGTCGAAAAAGCGACATTCTATTTGGTTACCGTAAAGTGAAATTTTCCCAAACTATCTTCCGCAATAGTCTCGTCCAATGCAAACCTTTTGCTATGCCGAAAACTTACTCCCGTTTGTAAACGGGCTCCTGAATCCCGTAGACCGATGGAGTCGCACAATACACGCATCCAAGCGGTTCCGAGCCACCGGCTGGAGAAAAGAAGGCGAATAGGAGGAATAGACCGAATTTCAAAGACATAGCGCTGAAATTATTGATTATAATACAGTTTGGGCCAAGGCGGTACCGTTTATGCAAATGTACGATTTAACATTGAAGAATTGGAGCTTCATACAAACCTCTATTGAAAGTAGAGTGGAGCTTATTCAAATCGGATTTGAATAAGATTTGAATTATTCAAATCAAACCGATTTGATTTGAATCGAAGTAAGCTTGTTCAAATCAAAGCTATTTGAATTGGCCAAAGTCAACTCAAATCAAATCAAATCGGTTTGATTTGATTTGAGTTATTTGAACACGATTTGAACAAGAACGAGCAAGTATTTTTTTCTGGATTTATGCAAAATGTCAAATAATATTATTTAAATCTCGGATGCAAAGTGACATTTTGCCTTTCGCAACTTCAGAAATAGAGTGCGGCTTATTCAAACCGGGTTTGAATAAGATTTCCGTTATTCAAATCAAACCGGTTTGATTTGAATACGGGATCCTTATTCAAACCAAACCCGGTTTGAATAAGGATTCCCAACTCAAACCAAACCAAACCGGTTTGAATAATTTGAACAAGGTTTGAATAAGAACCAGTCACCGAAACAGTCTGTTTTCGGTACCATTTTTGCGTTTTGGCACCAATCCTTTTGTGACTTCACTTTAGGGTGATTCAGCAGCATTCCTGCCAGGTTTTTGGGGTAGCGGATCATTTCGAGACCTTTTTCTTTCAGCGCTGCCAAGGTTATCCCGACCATTTGGATGCTTGTGAAAGGTTGTGAATGCCAAGCCTATCGTTGAAAAAGTGCGTAAACCCCGTAAATGATGCCAATTTCATCATTATATTGATCACACAAGGTTTTAGAAGGGATGCCTCGAAAACTTAGCCGATTAGCATCCATCCAATCGATTAACATGCTGATTTGCCTGTTGTTCAAACCAATTCAAACCAACTCAAACCTGGTCGGTTTGGTTTGAATAACGGATCCTTATTCAAACCAAACCGGTTTGATTTGAAAAGCATATTCTTATTCAAACCGCCCTTATTCAAATCAAACCGGTTTGAGTCGCGATTTGATTTGAATAAGCCGCACTCTACTTCAGAAACGGCGCCGACCGCATCGTTGAATCATTTTTGATCAATTCCAAACGCTAAAAGCCACATCACAAACGTTTCTGACTGCCATTTTACCATTATTACGCGAATCAGCCATGCTAAAAGCCGAAACCGATGTGATTACCATCCGTTCCAAATTTCCATACTCGATTTGCCGGTTGTTCAAATTGTTCAAATCAACTCAAATCGCAGCAGATTTGATTTGAACTGCCTTTTCTTGTTCAAATCAAATCGGTTTTAGTTGAATAAGAAAATCTTGTTCAAATCGTTCTTATTCAAATCAAATCATATTTGAGTCCGATTTGATTTGAATAAGCTCCACTCTAATTGAAAGTGAGGCTCAAAGAATATGGCTCTATGACAAGACGAAGAATTTTGACTGAGGCCCGGGCGTGCGTGCGTGCGTGGGAGTGCGTGTGTGTTTTCCGCAATTTCTTCGCAATTCCAAGTTCCAAATTCACTCCAGAAAAGTGTGGAGAAACTAAACGTATCGAGGAATTTGAAAATCGATTTATTTTTCGACGGAGAGAAGTACATGACACTCAAAAGTAATTGGCGATGAGCGATACGATAATGGTGGAGGCGATCGTATTCGGATAAGAATTCTTCTGCTTCTCGGCTTCTTCGGCTTTGCGCTGCTTCTCGGCTTTTTGCGCTTTGCGCCGCTTCTCGGCTTGTTGCGCTTTGAGCTTCTCGGCCTCCTCGACTCGCGTTTTCAGATAACTAACGTCCTCCGTGCTGCAATAGTCTGTGCTGCACACGTGTGCCCAGCCGTTCGCTAAAAAAATCAGTTGGACTACCGCGAAGAATATGAATAGTGGCTGGCTTAAGGGTCCTTTAGGATTCGCGGGGGACCAACTCGGCACAAGCCTAAATTTTTGATGGATAGCGGATATTTTCCACCTTTTTTTAAACTGTTCTTGAGCTTAACGAATTTTCATTAAAAATTTAATTTTAGATGGAAAAATTGATTTTGTCGCAAAATGACCAAGCTTTCGATTGTTTCACACGCTCGAACTTTTTTTTTGGATTTTTGTTACTTTAAAAATAGTTAAAACTTACTAAAAACCTTGAAACGCTTTATATTCGATTACTTGGCCAACCGGAATCACCGGAAAAAAGTTTGGCTCCCCCCGCGAATGCTTACGAACCGGCGTAAAATATGAAGCTGCTTACCGCCGTCCTCCTTGGTATAATTGAAATAGCCCTCTTGCTTGGTGCTGGTACTTCCTTTGAGGTGCATCACTTTTCCGTCTGCATACTCGAGGTGAAGGATCCCACAGCGCTCACCGTATTTTCTTTTCTTGTACTAAATTATATGTTCGTTAAAGCGTGGCTCAGGAGCTTACGAGAGAGGGGCAACCGGGGCAAGATCCCCCCGCCCCCACCCCCACCCGTAAATCGAACGAAGGCCAAAAAACTCATAAAAGGGGGGTGAGAGCCATGGTTTTTTGGTGCAAAATTCTTCTGCTGGTGTTTTATATCTGAGCTGGTACCAAAGAGAGCGTTAGATCGAATCTACAGGGGGACACTATATCATCTAACCCCCCTTAAAACCAACCCACCACGATCCAAATCTTGTCTAAAGGGCGCCTAGACTGCTCTCCAGGCATTATTGCGGTTCCGCCCAAAAACGGCTTTCGGGGTCAATGACATCGAATTCTCCGTATTTTTCTTCTTCGGATAGGCGGTTGTCGAAAGCCCCAAAGCATTTAGCTTTTTTTAACATAATCGAAATTTAGGTTTCTGACCACCGCCCCCCTCCCCCCGCCCTTTGACCGTTTGTATGGAAAGGGGGGTTGTTAGAGCATCTAGTGTTCGTACTAGATGATCTAAGGGGGCCACTAGATAATCTAGTCGCCCGCTAAGATCTTCCCGACGTGTCAGCGCCAAATGGGTCGAAAGCGCAGTTGTTTTGAAAGTGCCATCGGATAGAGTCGGTGTTATGTCCTAGAAAACTTAGTTCGGTTCCTTAGTTCGGTTCCTTGGGGGGGGGAACCAATTTTTTTCCTGGTGGTCCCGGTTGACCAAGTAATGAAATATAAAGTGTTTTCGAATTGTTTTTAGTACGTTTTAACTATATTTAAAGCAGAAGTACTTTCAGGAAAAAAATTAGAAAAATGTTTGAAAAAGTCGGAACTTTGGTCATTTCGGGTCTTCCCCCCGCGAATCTTAAAGAACCCCTAGTTCCAAAACAAATTTCACCCAGAAGGCCACGCGCTACGGTCCACGCCATTTGGGCCGTAAAGGGGCCTTTAGGTGTTCTAAGGGGGGTTTAGGTCATCCAACAACGAGTAGTTTTTAGGTGATCTTGGGATTTTCCGATGTGACATACACTCCGTCGCAAAACCTTAGGTACACCCCCTTTTTCAGCTGTAGCTTCAGAATAAAAAAAGATACGATTAAAACCAAATACAGGGTGCCCCAAAAAAACGAACCATCTGGCATTTCGCCGTGTTACATCCAATCGGCCCAAAATTTGGACCAGAGGTGTATCGGACCCTAAATAACAACAATCCTGACTTTTAGCCCCGTAGCTACAGTCGTTCTCGAGTTATAATGAAAATACTGCTTTTCCCGGAATTCCGAACGGTTTTTTCGGCTATCTTTTTGGACTTTGCACCGATTTGCATCGACTTCCGGCTGTGAATCCCTAATTTCGCTTAAGAACTTGAGTAATTTTGCGTTGTAAAAATCGCTTAAATCGAAGCTTATTTAATTAATTTTACTCTGGAAAAAATTCCTTAAGGTAAAGAACGCCTTCCCGATCATTTTCACTTAATGTTTAGGGGGTCTAATTCCACGAAAACCTCTATGAAAAATGGTAAATGAAGTTTGTTTTTGCTATAACTTGAGAACTACTATAGCTACAGGGCTATAAGTCAGGATTGTTGTTATTTAGGGTCCGATACACCGCTGGTCCAAATTCGGGATCGATTGGATAGAACATGGCGAAATGCCAGATGGTTCGTTTTTTGGGACACCCTGTACACCATTGTATTTTTCGCATAGGAAAGCCCTATACAAAAATGGATCCAGCAAGCTCCGATGCGGCTACGTGCGTATAATTGCAAAAGCAGATTCGGAGCCGTTGCAAGACTTCAGGTACTGCTAAATGAAAGTAATTATTTTGCCTGACGGTGTCCGCTCTGGCGATCCTTGTTGCAGTAATTGTTTAATTGGATCTAAAACTAGTATTTGGCATACTTAGATTTCCTCGAGGTGGGCCTAAACATTTTTCGAAAAATAGATTTTGTATTAAAATCCACGTTTTTTGAAATTACGTTAGCCAATCGATTGGTACAATTCAAAAAGGGGCGGGAGGAAGTGGGCCTATAGGCAGAGGGGAAAAGTTCACGGACTTTTCAGTCCCAAAAAGTCCACGGACTTTGGACTAAGAACCAACACTACTCCGCCGCCCCTCTCCAATCAACTCTTTGGTGACTGGCAGCCCATCGGACTGCGAGGCGGACCATCCCTGTTTCGACCGCCATCCGGTGCGACCCTCTGCTCTTTCAACGAGTCCATCTTTCTCCCACCCTTTAACACCCACCGTGCCCCTGTCGTTACCACAGTCTTCCATAAAGATACTAGAATCTTCCCAGGATTCGGTCGGCATCAGGTACCACAGCAAATTGTCGGGCGCAGGACTGAAATTAGATAAATTGGGAGATTATTCGGGGTTAGCGGGCACAGTTGTTTTTTGTGATTAAAAAACCATTCGACGGACCGCACAACTGAAGACCTTATCGGAAACGGTAAAAATAAAAACTTGTTGAATTTGAGTTTCAAACAGCCGTCTTCAAGGAGGCACACCCAAAGCACCATCAAATCAAAACCCTTGGGGCCTCAAAATTCTATCTTTATGGAACTTGTATTGAATGTCGAAAAACAGCTAGTTTTGTGAAAGGGCTTTTCATTTTCGCAAAAAGAGAAGAATTCTCGTGGCAACAAAAAGTGCTAAATTCCCTTCAAACCCTAAAATGCCACAAAATGGGCAACAACAAAAAGTGGCTGACTATTACAAATTTTCATAAACTTGGTACAATCCTAGATTACAGGTCAGGTCTACATATTAATTTCAAGCAAGCGTAAATAGATCATCATACAGAAATTATATGCAAGCCGAAACGGCTAAAAACTAGATTTGTCACTTTTAGTAAGGTGCCAGCAACTTTTGGTTGATCCCCCATTTTGTGGCATTTTTCAGAGCTTGAAAGGAATTTAGCACTTTTTGAGACGAAGCCAAAGAATAACCGAAGAAAAGGGACGTTAAATATTCGAAAAAAATTTGCCCCCCTAACTTGAATAGTGCCAAGTTGATTTTTAAAAATCTGATAGGTGTGCAGTTGTGCCATGACCATTACGCACCTAATAACGTATCATACAAACCCTTAACTTCTTCTTTTATTGAGATACGACTGGAACGTACGGACGGAAGTTGCATGCAAATGCCCACACATACACACACACACACACAGACACTATTTTTTTTATTTATAGTCGGATTGCTTCAGCCGTAACTCGTCTTCCCAAAAATAATTCCTGCTCCCCCGCTAACACGGAAGCACCCACCCCTCTACCTAAAACTTTCTTCTAGCCTTTTGTCTGTCAAAACAATACTCCACAATAGTCTAGTCTAATGCAAACCTTTCGCTGTGCCTTAAAACCTACCCCCGTTCATAAACGGCTTTCTGAATCGAGGAGACAGATGGAGTCGCACAATACGAGCAACCAAGCAGTTTGAAGCCACAAGTTGGCGATAAGAAGGCGAATAGGAGGAATAGACCGAATTTCAGAAACATAGCGGTGAAATGATTTATTAAATATCATTTTGAGGAAGCCCGTACCGTTTATGCAAATGTACGATTTAAGAATTGAAGAATTAAATGTGCACCAGGGTTGAAAAGTCGCGAAGCGACTTTTCAACCCTGGTCCCGTCTAACACCATACAAATCTTTACTTTGCATTCTTGCATACGTTTCTCCGTTCTGATGAGAAAAATGAGAAACGCAACTATCTCGCTCATTATATAGGCCCCCGCCATTTCCGGCCTATGCAAATTGTTTCCTACCAAAGAGGGGAGACGATTTTACAACAAAAACATAATTTTAATGTCGAAAACTTCGGATTTTGCAAAATCTGATATGCGCGCAGTGATCTCCGGCCCATTACGCACCTAACGACGTATCGTACGTAAACTAATACCCTTCCCTTCTTGAGATATCTTCTGGACACCCTGACGGAAGTTGCATGCAAATGCACACACACACACACACACAAACACTATTTTTTTATATATAGTAGGATACAAAACCTTCAGTGAAGGTGATGCCCAAAATTTTGTGGAGAATGTGCACCGTTGTTACTATGAATTAGACCATCGTTTTTGGTTTGTGAATTAAGTTATAAGAGTCCAGCGGGGGAGGAGCCGCTTCGCGACTCTCCCCCGCTGAACCCGGTCGAGGCACTGAATTGGTCGCCTTTTCCAGTCCCACATCTCAGAGGAAAGGGTTTCATCGGCCTATTTTTGTACCAAAAATAAAATAGTTGTGAAAAAATAGTTTTGTCCTCTTTTTCGGCCTGCGGCGCAAGCTTAAGCGGTTAGCTTCGTTTCAAAGACTGCGGCGCAAGCTTGAGCGGTTAGCTTCGTTTCAAAGACTGCGGCGCAAGCTTGAGCGGTTAGCTTCGTTTCAAAGACTGCGGCGCAAGCTTGAGCGGTTAGCTTCGTTTCAAAGCCTACGGAGCAATCTTGAGCGGCCTTCACCCTTTTCTTTTAGCCTTCTACGGCGAGTTCTGCGCGTGCGCCACGGATCTGTGCAATTCGCGTCCGGCGCTAGGGGTGAAGGCTGAGCCCGCGAAATCTGTCGTGTCGCCGGCCAGCTCGATGATGCCCCTGATCAGCTTCCTGTTGATGACTATCACCCTCCTCGACCGCTAGATCACCCTGCAATACCTATCCCCGACGATTCCAAAGTGATACGCATGAATATTTGAATAAACGCCCTTCCCGGCATTGTTGTATTGCGGAACACCTTTGCGATATGTTTTTTATGTATTTTTTACTGGGTTTCGGAGCCCTTTTTGGGGAGAAGGGCAGGACGAAATTTTACGGATCTTTCGCACTATCGGGGGGTGGGGCGAGTAGTTTATTTTAATAGTGTTTTTAGTAGCTTCCGATAACCAAAAATTATAAAAACATTTTATATTACATTTCAAGCAGTCAACAAAATCTAAGGTTTTTGGCTGGTTTTTAACCCTTTTCATACGCGTTAAACCAAAAAAGGAAAAAATTTCAACATATTTTATGTAGTTTTTCTGAATTTCTCTTCCCCCACTAACAGTCAAGAACCACTTGAACCGGCGTACAAGTCTATAAAAACGGTCCACCTTTAATTAGCCGGCCCACCTGAGATTATAGAAAAAAGTTCGAAACCGCCCCCCGTTAACCTGGAAGCACCAAATGTGGAGAAACTGAATGTACCGATGAATTTGAAAATCGATTTATTTCGCGATAGAAGAAATCACATGACATTAACGAGATAATTGACGATCAGGGAAACGATAATGGGGAAGGTGAGGGTAATCGGGTGAGAATTCTTCTGCTTCTCGACCTCTTCCGCTTTGCGCTGCTTCTCGGCTTCTTCGGCCTTCAGATGTTCAGCCTTCAGATCTTCGGCCTTCTTGACCTCGGCCTTGAGCCATTTCACCGCCTCATGGTTGCAAAAATCGGTCGAATTGCAGCCGTAGAACCAGCCAACCGCTAAATTGTTTTTGTTTTGGTTATTCTCATTTTCCTTGTCAGACACTGATAGAAAAAAATAAAAGAGATATATAAAAAATATTAAATAACAAATTTTAGAAAAAATTATGAATTTTTGGTCGAATGTTTGAAAAATGATGACAAAGTCAAAACCAATTGTTTTTTAATTTTTATCGTTTTGCTTGCATACCTCCTTTCTCGTCGGTAAAGTTATAAGCGCCATCCTTCCATTGCGCCATAGGATAATCGACACATCCCTTCACATGCAATACTTTTCCGTCTTCATATTCGAGATGCAGTTGGGCACAACGATAGCTTTCGCAAAGGCTAACGGCCTAAAATAACAGTTTATGTTTACAAAAGACGGTTTGTGAGACTTCTGTCTCGAGATATGACACTTCAAAGTTGGCTACTGAGGTATTCGGTCACCAAGCAAAAAGCGAAGTTTGTTATGTCAAAATGCTCATCAGTAAGTTGAGCTGATCAAGGATCAGTTCATAAACCTTTTCGGGAAAACCCCTTATCGCGAGATATACAGGGTGGTCCATAAGTATTGTCGCGCCCTTTGGCCGGCTGTATCTAATCGGGGCCGTGTGCGAGCGGCTAGTTTAGCGTATGCCTTATGCAGTTTTCTCTCCTCTATCCGATGGTAGGGTAGGTTTCACGATCGTATTGAGATTTCGAGCTTATAGCACATAGTTTCTAGAGAACCTCCAAATTTCAGCTTAAAAATGGCTTTTGAGAGGCTCCGCTGGCGACAAAACAATTGTTTATTGACTAAACTCGCCTGACAATTGAAAGAACAAGTAAAACTCTGCTAGCAGAATTTCCAAACAAAAATTTTCGCATCTCCGTTTTTGAGCAAGCGCTATTCAAAGTTTCGGGGAACCCGGTGCGCCGCCCTCGGCCTAGCCCGTATGTAAAACTGAGATCGTGGCTGCTAGAAAGCTGGGAAAACTGTAACAATGTTTTTGGGTATAGCTTCGACTTCTTTTTAACTATTCCCAAATTTTAAGCGCAGAATTCCACATGAAGTTCAAGAAAATCGAGATTTTTGTCTAGTGGCATGCGCCAGCCAATTTTAGTTCAAATCAAAGTCTGAAAAGTGACAGGAGCCTAGCTCAATATGACATTGGAAAGAAGACGTCAGGTAGCATAGTAATACCATATACAGGGTGTCCCAAAAAAAAGACCCCCCCAAAAATTTGAGCCAGAAGACACCTACGGAGCTGAAAATTTGCACAGAGGTAGCGAAGGCAATTTTCTATGAACAAGGAAAGTTTCAGCCCGATCGGCCAGCGGGTTTTAAAGTTATAGCGAAAATACTTTTCATTTTTAATTTAATATGGGGATCTTTGAAATTTGCATCAAAGATATGCATTATTCTTGCATTTACGAGCCGCATTTGCATAAATTTGCCGGAAAAATGCCATTTTCTTGATGGTGCTTTTGGAAAACGATTGCTCATGTAGCGAGAAAATGATCAGCAAGAACGATGAATACCAGACCTCATCGCGGAAACAATCGTTGAACGCCTGAGCTTGGCTTAAACTTCAGCGTACGCGCCAACATAGACCCAAATCTAAACTTCAACACTGGTTTCGAGCTCGTCGAACTCTGTTTTCGCGCCGACGAAGCTCAAATTGCCAATATGTACAATAAGACGTGATTTGGATCGATAAAACTGTTGTTTTATCACTCTTTTTATTCTTCATACGCAATCGTTTTCCAAAAGCTCCATCAAGAAAATGGCATTTTTCCGGCAAATTTATGCAAATGCGGCTCGTAAATGCAAGAATAATGCATATCTTTGATGCAAATTTCAAAGATCCCCATATTAAATTAAAAATGAAAAGTATTTTCGCTATAACTTTAAAACCCGCTGGCCGATCGGGCTGAAACTTTCCTTGTTCATAGAAAATTGCCTTCGCTACCTCTGTGCAAATTTTCAGCTCCGTAGGTGTCCTCTGGCTCAAATTTTTGGGGGGGGTCTTTTTTTTTGGGACACCCTGTAAGATTGCCCCGGGGTAGCCCTAGGAAGAAATAAAACTTCGAAAACTAAAAAATGACGGGATGCCCTGAATTTGCGGATTTTCGTCCAACATTGCGGAGGCCATAGCTCCTTCAAGCGACAAACTGGCTAAATTTTCATTTGGGGAAATGCAAAACAATGCTGAAGCTACCATAAACTCGCTGGAAAAAACATCCTGACTCTCAATCGCTGGATTTAGAGCCCTTCTTCCCGAAATTCTGGCACGGCGCATTCCAACCTTTTTGTCGCCCACTTTAGACAAACTATCTCTCTTAGAAACCATTATTCCAAAAAACTTTCTAAAGCAAAGTGGTTTCTGAGGCTTGTCTGAAGCTAGCCTACTTAATTAAATGGCTCAAATCGCTCAGTGGGAAAAGATATGACGCCTTGAAAAACGACAATACTTATGGACCACCCTGTATATAGCTTACAAGGGCTCAAAACACGGCGATGTACGCAATGCACCAATATACGCCAACTGTACAACGGAAAGTACGGAATGGTAGGGGATTGCTGTTTCTTGGGTAAAAAAGCATTGTCAGACAAGGCGGGTCGTCACTTCCGGTACACACGCTGCGTGCAACGCGTGCAACTCTCACCCCGATGCCACGAAGCCTTATTTTTAGGCTCAAACTAGAGTATAGCTAAGCACTTATCGAGCAATTATCCATCTTTTCCCCGCGCTGAAAACGGGCTTCCATGGGCGAGAACATGCTATATGATGAACGGGTTGAAGTAAAACTTGGAGTGTAATATCTCGAGGTAAAGGTGTTTCCGAAAGTTTTTCAACTAAACCTGAATCAGTTTCGGTCTGCTGAGCATGTTAACATATAAAAATCCGAAATCCGTTTAGTGACCGGATACGACAATTTAGCCCACAATGGCAATTTTCGGCCGCTACTGACAAATATACGGGATTGAAGATGCCCTAGACTCATGTCGAAACCCTGGTAAAGTGCGTATCAAAAAGGTAGAGCCACTTGGTTTTTCACCTTTCTCTTCGCGCCGTGGAATTTTCCAGCCAAGCTAAGCATACACATCTTGTAGCCCTTGAAAAGGCGCATCTTTCTGTGTAGTCGAAATTTTTCTATGATCGATATTAACTTTTTATGATAAAAACAAGTAAATAAAGCCAAAAACACACGTATCAAAAAGATAGAGCCACAATTTGCATGCACTTTACATGCGCTTTGAGCTTGCAAATTACATGGTAATTGTCATGCAAATCGTTCGCTTCATTCAAATTAACGAAGGCCGCAGAAAAATCTGATTGAATAGTAGCAATAAAAAGGCTAGTTTTTATGTAGTGTTCGCCTCATTTGCGCGCTCAGAAGTGGCTAGAGCGGTAACATTTTTCTGCGGCCCTCGTTGATTTGAATGAAGCGAACGATTTGCATGATAATCCTACTATATATAAAAAAATAGTGTCTGTGTGTGTGTAGACACTTTGCATAGAATCCCGGGTTCCAGCCATAACTCGAAGGGAAACACATTTTTTGGTCCAGAAGTAAGGTAGTTAGGGGTATTCGAGGGCGTAGATTACTGCAAGCTTATCAGATTTTTACTAAAATTTCGTTTTATACCTTATTTTAGCGTTTTAAAAACATATGGAAATAGACTAATTTGCATACGAGGCGCTAGGAGCCTCATTTTGGATTTTGTCGCGCTCGTGGCCGGTTGCTTTTGCTATTCTTTAGTGTTCGTTCTAGCTCTTCGCCCGAATTATGCAAAGCCCAACTTTTAAAGATCCCTGCGCAACGGCCAGGGGTGAAAAGCCGCGGAGCGGCTTTTCAACCCTGGTTACCATGTAATTTGCAAGCTCAAAGCGCATGTAAAGTGGATGCAAATTGTGGCTCTATCTTTTCCATACTTGTTTTTGGCTCTATTTGCTTGTTTTCATCATAAAAAGCTTAATATCGATCATAGAAAAATTTCGACTACACAGAAAGATGCGTCTTTTCAAGGGCTACAAGATGTGTATGCTTAGCTTGGCTGAAAAATACCACAGCGCGAAGTTAAAGGTGAAAAACCAAGTGGCTCTATCTTTTTGATACGCACTGTATTCCCGCCGACAATGTGATAATACCAAATAAGCGCTTCGCCACTAAGGTTCCTCACCGCCGAAGTCGAGCATAGGTTGCTGTGCACTGGGTGGGGAAATTCCTGATGTGGCATCATCTGCCGAAGAATACCGCGGCTGAAAATGCATGCAATGGAGCTTGAGAGCAATTGCCTGGTTGAGAATGTTGCATGCAAAGCGCCACTCACACGCATAGAGACAGAAAACTATTTTTCATATAGTAGGAATGTGGGTTCTAGCGGGGGGCGGGGGGGGGGTGGTTAGCGGATTGGGGGGAAACCAACTTTTTCCTGTGATTCTCAACCGTCCTATGACAACATATAAACGTTTTTTTACATAATTTTTAGATTTAAAAGTAACATAACAATTACAAAAAATTTCGAAAAATACTTACTTTTTGATTAAAAATGTATGAAAAACTATTTTTTCAATTTTTTAGAGCCTTCTAGCAATGAAAACCTACTAAAAACAGTATAAAAATACAAAATATACCAGCAACAAGTGGATAAAAAAATGTTTTCCCCCTGCTACAACACCGCCAACAGTCGAGAATCGGAATGTGCAGAGTAAGGCTTTACTTTACCACCACCATTCCCCCCACCCCCACAGCCAAAGGGTCTCAAAGTTTTCGGTATTTTCCCGTATTTTGTCGGGATTTTTGCAACGCCATTCGATAGAGCGTCGAAAAATATACGAAGGGTTATAAATTGAGCCTACAATAATGTAAAAGAAAAAATTATAGCCAAAACCATCCGGCTGGGGGGGGGAGGGGTAAAGTAAAGTGTAGCGCAATCGGCCCACCTGTCCAGCCTGATCAATTCCCACGAACGGCGATCGGCGATATTGGTGCAAGCGATACATGTAACGTACTTCTCGTCGCCAGCATGACAGGGAATCCGGCAAAGGACGGTGAAGAGGAGAAATAGACCGAGGCGGGAGGGCATCGCAGAATAACGTCAATGCTCATATCCGCCCAATAACTGCGTGGTCTAGGTGACCACAGGAAACGAAATGATGTGATAGTATACAGTCAAATGTAGTCAAATGTCATCCGTCAATAAAATCCTACCTTATACAATTTTGGTTATCTCTGTGTGTGGGTGTGTGTGGATGTCAATTTTGAGGCCCGATTTGAGGGCCTTCCCGTGCATAAAATGCCCTAATTCTCCGTCGCTTGGGTGCAAACGACCCTCCTCTTTCCGATAGCGTCTTCAGAATTTCGATAAAATACAACTGTACAAAGTTAAAGCGGGCTTTATTCATTTTTGGAGGGTCCAGGAGGGTTAATTTGCATACTGTAAAAAAATACAAATTTTCTCATTCTTGCAAGTTGCACGCGCGCGTTGGGTCGGTCGGGGGGGAGAGGGTCGGAAGGACCCGAGCTATCGGGAAGTCAAATTCCTCATGCAACGGCCGCATTCCAGCGCCCAAGGCCCGCGAAGCGGGTTTTGGGCGCTGGTCCGCTATAAAAAAATAAAAGCTAAAATGAACTAAAAATACCAGACGTTTACCAGCTGGTTTACCACCCATAAAACTACTTTTGCTAAGAAAATTTTAGAAATAGTGATTATAGAAATCGTGACTTTTCGAAATGGCGGCTTACGAAACGGCGCTTTGCGAACTGCCGATTTTTCGAAATGGCCACATTAGAAATGGTGCTTTTCGGGATGCTGCTTTGTGGAAACAGTGATTTTCAAAGTCGTAAATTTTTGAAATGGCAACTTTCGGAATGGTGATTTTTCGAAATCGCGTGCGGGAGTCGGTTTCAGAACCATGTTTACTTACCCTCCTCTACCCGGAAAAATTTTTGGTAAGTGTCTAGAAACCCCCCCAGCCGGCACCAACTTTTGTATCTCGGCCCCCCTTTGTGATAGCGAGCTCTAAAGTATACCGAAATGTTCGCCGTAGGCTAATTAGTAAGCCTACATTGCAGTCCAGTCGAAAAAAGTAGCGAAAAATAAAAATAAGGAAGGTAGAAGAGTTGAAAAGTCGGCTGGGGGGTTTCCTAGACTTGAGCCAAATTTTTTCCTGACAAAAAATATCCAATGCTTTTCTAATTTAAGCAATTTTTATGTAAAATCTTCCATATTTTTTGGGGTTTATTCAAGCCATTCTGCGTAAATTTCTTTAAGCGAAATTACCGGAAGTTGCGATTAAGTAGCCGCGAAGGCCGTTCCTGAATGTTTTTAAATGCGTTGGAACTTTAAAACTTTAGCTAATGATGTGGAGACACTGAACGTATCGAGGGAGTTGAAAATCCATTTATTTTTCGAAAGAGAGAAGTACATGACACTCAAAAGTAATTGGCGATGAGCGACACGATAATGGGGAAGGCGAAGGTATTCGGGTAAGAATTCTTCTGCTTCTCGGCTTCTTCGGCTTTGCGCTGCTTCTCGGCTTGTTGCGCTTTGAGCTGCTCGGCTGCCTCTACTTGCGCTTTCAGCATACCAACGTCCCTCATGTTGCAATAACTGCGGTAGCTGCAAACGTATGCCCAGCCGTTCGCTAAAAAAATCAGTTTCAAGGTGGGTTAAAGGTACATTTGGCTATCGTTCTGAAACTCTGGTCAGGGGCGGAAATTTAGGTGCATGGTGGGCGGGCACAGAGACCCTCTATCCCATTGCCCCTATTCCTCTTCCGATCTCTCCCATGGCCTAGCGGAGACGTTTGCCCCAGGTCGAGTGTTCCGGGTTCAGTTTTGCCCAAGCCTAAATTTTTGACGGATAGCGGATGTCTCTCTGTATTCTTTTAACTATTCCTAAGCAGGAAAGCATAACGAATTTTACTTAAATATTTAATTTTAGATCGAAAAATTGATTTTTTCGCCAATATGACCAAATTTTTGACTTTTTCAAATACTTCTCTAAATTTTTCTGCGAATTTTTCTGCTTTAAATAATTAAAACTTACTAAAAACAGTGAAAAACACTTAATATTTGATCACTTGGCCTATCGGTACCGTCAGGAAAAACATTGGCTCCCCCTGCGAATCGTTAAGAACCGGCGTAAAATATGAAGCTGCTTACCGCCGTCCTCCTTGGTATAATTGAAATAGCCCTCTTGCTTGGTACTGGTACTTCCTTTGAGGTGCATCACTCTTCCGTCTTCATACTCGAGGTGAAGGACCGCACAGCGCTGACCGTATTTTGATTTCCGCTCGGACTAAAGTACATTCGATTTGAAAATTTCTACACGGACAAAGCTCGACGACACGAATCGATTCGTCTACCTTTCAGCTGCCCAGACCGTAATTCCGCCGAGTTAAAAGCATTTCAAGTTTTTGCTTGTTTTTCGTTATACCTTCGTAGACTTTCCCGCTCCCCTAGCGCCGTGGTCTGGTGGCCTAGTCGATTAGTCGGCGGCGTCTGGGGAACCTCACGTGGGTTCGAACCCGTTCCCGCTACTCGCTACCGGTTTTTATCTGTTTTTAAGACTTTTTAGTTTTATTTTTATTTTAATGCCATAGACTTCATGCTTTGAAAATTTTTGGCCTGTTGCGCTGCTTATCCTTATTGTTATACGACTTTTGCTCTGATAAACTATTTTTTCGATCTGCCGCGCTATTCTTTCTTTTGATATTTGTTTTGAATATTACAGTTGAACGCAGCTTTTACAAAAGTCACCGGAGGGCGGCGGGAAGGGGGCCTTTACCCATTTTTGGCTTTTGTGAGGCGCGGGATGATTCTTTGTTGTCGGTGTTGTTGGCGCATGGTCAGGGGCGTAGCTGACCCCAGGTTTTGGGGGGGCATCGACATTTCGGAGGGGCAGCAAGAGAAATGTTTCGAATTTGGTGCGCTTTTCACTAAAATAGCAGCGCCGCAGGCTAAAAAATGAAGAAAAAGTAATAAAAACAGAAAAAGTTTTCATGTTGAAAAATCATAAGGTTATGTTTTTTTCGGGCCCGCCGGATTTCGGTGGGGGGGGGGGGCAGCCTGGTCATACCACGCACCTCCTGCCTATGGTCGCGCCACGACATGTGCGGCCCGACATTTACGGCGCGTTCCCGTAGCAAAAGGTGGGCCGCAAATGTCGGGAGCCCCTGTGATATCACTGTGAATCCGAAGCGACCGTTTGTTCTGCCGACTCTTTGGCGATTCCACCCACCCCGAGGTTGCCACAGTCGTCCGCAAAGATAGGATCTCCCCAGGATTCGGTCGGCATCAGGCGCCAAAGCAAATCGTCGGGCATAGGGCTGAAATTAGATAAGACCCAGACGCCCTGGCCCGAAAATCGAATTTTTGAAAATGAAAAAGGCACCGGGGTTTTGTGGATACAATTAAAGGGATAGGGGCGCCATACGTCAATCGATTACGCGCGGGCAAGAAAATGTCTCTGCGCCTCCCCCTGGGCGCCCTCTCTCGCCGCGGGACCTATTGAACCCCCCCAGGGGGCGGGAGGGGGTTCAACAGATGCCGTCCTCATCTCTTTAAAGCACGCATCGAACAATGTATGAGAGCAGAATACTGGAATGATCTGGCTGAAGTTAATGGTTAAAAGGCCGTCCGCGGCTCACCCGGCCTGTCCCTAAGACTATGTTCCGCCATAGTCTCGTCTAATGCAAACCTTTTGCTATGCCGAAAACTTACTCTCGTTTGCGAACGCCAGTCTGAATCCCGCGGACAGATGGAGTCGCACAATACAGGCATCCAAGCGGTTCCGAGCCACCGGCTAGAGAAAAGAAGGCGAATAGGAGGAATAAACCGAATTTCAAAGACATTGCGCTGAAATGATTGATTAGAATACCATTTTGAGGAAGTCCGCACCGGTTATGCAAATATACGATTTAACATTGAAGAATTGGAGCTTCATACAAACTCTACACTCTGTCAAATAACTATAGAATCAAGCGTTTTTTGCGCGTGACTTTCTTTCTATTGATCGGTTTGACTCGAAAATATTAGTGTAGCCCTTTTTTGATAGCAGAAAACTGTGTGCAGAGTTTGGAGGAGAACCGATTTGTGGAAGGTACGAATCCGGAAAGCTTCGTTCTGAACTTTGTCAAAAAACTATAGAATCACTTTTAAATCACTGATTTTTCTACCCGTTTATCTTTTCCGACCATTTTTTTCCAACGCGCATACATTGCTTTACACGTGAACTATACTTTTGATTGAATAGTTTGGGCGTCCAAGGTCAGAACAGGATTTTCCAAAAACTGAATTTAACAAAGGAATCCACATTTTTCTAAAATTCTGCCATATCGAAATTGTATTTCCTAAATGTTGATTGTACCTCGGAATGCGCATTTGACAGCGAGTACATAGGTGCGTTTCGTTTTCCGGGAAACAGCCTGACGGCAAAGATATGCTCTGTCGAACCGTCGACGCCACGTGTCCTTTGTTAAATGGTCAGGAAAATACCTTGAGAGCCGCGGCCAAACACTAAAGTGACCGTAGAGGACGAACGTTCGTAAATGGAGGGTAGGTTCCAATAAACAAATGTGTACCTTGGAATGCTCTTTCAGCTGGCAAAGTGACATATTTTTCCATAGTTGTTTATTGTCAGAATTTTAGAAAAATGTGGATTCCTTTGTTAAATTCAGTTTTTGGAAAATCCTGTTCTGACCTTGGACGCCCAAACTATTCAATCAAAAGTATAGTTCACGTGTAAAGCAATGTATGCGCGTTGGAAAAAAATGGTCGGAAAAGATAAACGGGTAGAAAAATCAGTGATTTAAAAGTGATTCTATAGTTTTTTGACAAAGTTCAGAACGAAGCTTTCCGGATTCGTACCTTCCACAAATCGGTTCTCCTCCAAACTCTGCACACAGTTTTCTGCTATCAAAGAAGGGCTACACTAATATTTTCGAGTCAAACCGATCAATAGAAAGAAAGTCACGCGCAAAAAACGCTTGATTCTATAGTTATTTGACAGAGTGTATTGCAAGTGAGGCTCAAAGAATATGGCTCTATGGCTTATGACGAAGAATTTTGACTGAGACGCGTGCGTGCGTGCGTGGGAGTGCGTGTGTGTTTTCCGCAATTTCTTAGCAATTCCAAGTTCCAACTTCACCCCAGAAAGTGTCGAGAAACTAAACGTATCGAGGAAGTTGTAAATCCATTTATTTTTCGAAAGAGAGAAGTACATGACACTCAAAAGTAATTGGCGATGAGCGATACGATAATGGGGAAGGCGAGGGTATTCGGGTAAGAATTCTTCTGCTTCTCGGCTTCTTCGGCTTTGCGCTGCTTCTCAGCTTCTTCCGCCTGGCGCTGCTTCTCGGCTTCATCAGCTTTCTTCTTCTCGGCCTTCGCGACTCGCGCTTTCAGAAGACTAACGTCCTCCAAGTTGCAATAGTCGGTGCTGCAAACGTATGCCCAGCCGTTCGCTAAAAAATCAATTTCACGGCTGTTTAAGAATATGAATAATAGGTTGGCGTAATGGTTCTTTATGACTCGCGGGGAGGGGACCAACTTACATTTATATACTTTTAACACTAGCTGATGTGGTTCTACATTGCTTTTAGCTATTTCTAAGCATAAAAGCTTAACGAATTTTAATTAAAATTTTAATTTTAGAGTGTAAAATTGATTTATTCGCTAAAATGACCAAATTTTTGACCTTGTCAAACACATCTCGGACTTTTTTTGGAAGCTTGTACTTTAAAAATTGTTAAAACTTACCCAAAACCGTGCAAAAACTTTTATATATGATTACTTGGCCAACCGGAACCATCTGGAAAAAGCATTAGCTTCCCCCCTCCGCGAATCCTAAAGAACCGGTGCCAGATAACAGGCTGCCTACTGCCATTCTCCTTGGTATATTTGAAATAGCGATCTTCCGGATAAGCTTGGGGGCTGGCACATCCTTTGAGGTGCATCACTCTTCCGTCTTCATACTCGAGGTGAAGGATCGCACAGCGCTGACCGTGTTTTGTTTTCTTGGACTAAATTACATCTCGTTAGTGCGTAGCCTACAAGGAGCGTCCTTTTGGTGTCATCGGCAAATCCCTTCCAGACCTAAGTCATTCGATAGAGAACTGAATTCTGAACAAGCTACCAATGTTTATTTTTGTAGAATGGCGGTCTCTGATTTTACATTTCAAAAAACAAAGACATTTCAAAACGGCGCCCGAAAGCGTCTCTTTTGGCTCGAAGAGCACTCATGGTAAGAGACGGCCGCTAGTTTGTATAATTTATAAAATCAGAGACAGCCATTCCGCAATAATGAATATCCGTAGCTTGTTCAGAATTCAATTCTCTATCGAATGAGCTAGGTCTCAAAGTGATTGGCCGATGACACCAAAAGGGCACTCCATACGAGGGTTTTTTTTTTTGAGATGTTTTAGACTATTTTTAGAGCCATTAAACAAAACTGTTTCGACCCTTAATCCAAGACGAGACCTAGATATTGCAATTATCTTCTGAAAAGGTCATAGCTTTTTTAGACCAATTGGCCCCTCATCGAGACCGTCTGTTTCGGTTACGAGCAGGCCCGTACGGGAACCGAGATTTCGGGGCGGGGGGCGCCCAACCCATGAAATTTTGGCGACCTCCCCCCCACCGGTCAGCAAGCACTTTCCACAAAGTCCGCAAATCGCCTCAATAACTGCGCCGCAGGCAAAAAAAATTAGTAAACCGCGTTCGTTACGTTCCAATTCGTCCGAAAACACCACAGAATAGGCTCCGCAAGGTAAATTTTGTAAAGCAAAATGATGCATTAATGAAAACGAGCGCCGCAGGCAGAAAAATTTTTGATAAAAAAATCATAAGGGTCCCCCCTTATGAACTTTTCAGAACTTTTCCGGGGGTGGGGACCGTGCCCCCGATGCCCTCCCCCTCGTACGGGCCTCGTTACCAGGGACTCCTTTCTACGGTGAATTGTCAAAGTTGTAAACGTAATACGGAGCCGCTGCAAAAGGCACAAGTAAGCCTTATTATCGCACATTTTGCGCTTCATCCCAATTTCTGAATTTCCGAAACGTTAAAAAGACGGTTTTGCAACAGGAGCCACTCTACTTTGAAAGGTGATCGCTACTTCTTCCCCTCTGCGTTTAAGAAGAGGCTAAGTGCCACCAAGGGCCTTGTCTCTTCGGATGGGTGCGAGCTCGTACAGGATTTCGAAATCGGGGCGCCAAGGACGGATAAACGGCCGGGTGCGCCCCCATTTCGAAAGAGTGGAGCGGCAGCCCATCCGAAGCGAAGGCCCGCTTTCCTGACAATGTTACAGTCAAAAATGTCAAAAATTACACTAAAATCTCGTTCAAAATAGTCGGTAGCAGACGTGCATTTTTTCCCACTGCCGTCTCTCCGATGGCCTAGTAGTCCAAAGCGCTTGCCCCAGGCGAGCGGCCCGGTTTCGGTTATGCTCCGCGGCGAGCGCCCACCGTAACCCTGTTTGCTATCCCGTAGACGGTTACCGGCCGGTAACCAAACCAACGAGACTTTAGTGCGCCTTTAAGTTGAAGGTGAACTATCCAAGTTAAAATGTTTGGAACTTTTTTAGAAGCGAGTTTAAATAATTTTTTTTTCAACTGGAAAGGGAAGAACTCAACGAGATCTATCGATTCCAGTCAAAAATCGACATTTTATTTAGTTACCATAAATTTAAATTTTTCCGCGACGCTTCCCTCTGCCAGCTCTCTTGTGATTTAACACCCACCCTGTCGTTGCCACAGTCCTCCGCAAAGATAGGATCAGTCCAATCCTCGCTCGGCATCAGGTACCATAGCAAATCGTCGGGCGTAAAGCTGAAATTAGATCAAATGGTAGGCTCATTCGGCGGTGAGCGGGCGAAGTACTCTTTTGGATTTAAAAAGAACCATTGGTCGGACCGCACAACTGAAGACACTACAGGAACCGGTGAAAACAAAAACTAGTTGGTTAGAGTGCAGTTTACCCCCCCCCCCCAGCCCTAACTTTTCAGCCATACGTCCTATTAATGCGCCGAGTATCTCAAAATGTTCGCCGTGGTCGAATTACTATAAAAAAGTTGTTTTCTTGCGGCAAAAATTGCTAAAAATTTTTTTTACAAGGTTTTGAAAGTTGAAAAGATTAAGCCGCTATGCTTCGATGTACTAGGAGTCTAAAACTCAAATATTTTTATTTTTCGTTATTTTTTTGGCTCAAACGTACTGTAGGCTTATTCTCCAGAGCAAGAGCTACATTTTGGTACTATTGACAGCTCTGTACGTCAAAAGATAGCCGAGATACGAAAACTCACTTTGGAACAGCAAAAATTAACTAAAGAAAACCCAGACTTATAATTGTTATAAAATTTTTTCTAGCAATTTTTGATGTAAGAAAACAACTTTTTTATAGAGCAAAAAGAAATTCGGTTTATTTCGATGTCGTGGAATCGAACCCGGACCCTCCGCCTGGGAGCCCTGTGGCGCAATGAGGAGAGCGTCGGCGTGCCAATCCAGAGCTTGCGCCAGTTCAATCCCAGCACCCTCTCAGAAGCCGAATTTCTTTTTGCTCTTTTTTGCAATGGCTTCAGCATGACGACTACATGCAAATTCATGTCTTGTATTTTCAAAACAAACAATTTTGTATTTTTAGGGGTCGTTTTTGTTGCATTTTCCGCACACAAATCGCGTTATAGTAAAATTGGGACACCTGGGCGCAACACGATCAATACATCATTCGACGCAGAATTTTTTGGCGCATCTTTCTATGCTATTTTGCAGTTGCGCTGAGGTGTCCCAAAATTCGAAAGTGTCGAAATACTGTTTTTAGTACGCAATTTAACCATGTTCCGGTCATTTTTGGGTTTTGC